AAACTTATAAAAACCTTTAAAAATCCTGAAGTATTCAATAACAATTTTAAATAATCTTAAAAAATATTTTAGAAAATTACTCACGGGTGACGCGAGTTTTGTTGAAATAACTCTCAGGTCCCTCTATTTTTAAGAAGACAGCAGAGGTCCTTACATTTTGTTGTAATGACTGGAAGGGGACATTTCATCCAATATTTCATCTATAAACGTTAATAAATGTATTTTTTTCCTATTCTTTTCTAAATGTTTTAAGGTAATAAATCTTAGGTCGCTCCTTTTTTTATTTCTTTGTTTTTCTTTCATTTTGTTACTATTTTTTAAAGTGTTATTTTAGAATTTCTTCTATAAAATCTGTTATGGATAGTAGGCTAGGATATTTAATGGTATTATTATTATTATTATTATTATTATTATTATTATTATTATTGTAATGTAGATTTTATTAGGTGAGCGAAATTATAAGCTCCTTCGAGGTTTCTTTACGGTTCTTTCCATCGTCGCTTTTATTGAACCGTCAGATTAGCGTTAGGGTTTCCTTCTTCTCTATATAAGGAGATGTAAGTATGTAACCCTCTTTAGAGTTAATCAATTAATAAACAACTCAAAACCCTAATTCCTTCTCCCCTCTCGGTTCGCTGATTCCCTCTTCGCCTCCATTCTTCTTCTTCTTCCTCGTCTCATATTCTCAAGAGCTCGAAGACGCTCTGAGTCTGCCGTATCCGATACGAGTTCGTATCAAAATCGTATAAAAGTTCAAAATTGTTTGTATTATATTAAAACAAATGAAATAAAAAAATTTTAAAAAAAGAAAAAACAAGGTAATGGCAAAATAGAAAAAAAACGGTATTGGAAAAATAGGAAAAAAATACATTTATTAACACTTACAGATGATGTATTGGATGAAATGTCCCCTCCCAGTCATTACAACAAAATATAAGGACTTCAGTTGTCTTTTTGAAAATAGAGGGATCTGAGAGTTATTTCGACCAAACTCGCGTCACCCGCGAGTAATTTTCTGAAAATATTTAGGTATTCAATAGTCAATGAATATTAATACTCCATGGATTTTGTTGGATTCTCTCCCAAAAACATGCTTACCAAAATCTTTTCTCACAATGAAAGATTTCTAAGGAATTTTCTGGATGCCCTTCAGGCCTGCACTGGCAAAATAATCTTACGCGAACAGAAGCGTTACTGGAAATCTGCAATTCCTACTGCAATTCTTCCGTCTAGATCATTGGGTTATTGAGATTCCCTACAAAATCCCTGAAACCCAATCTAATTGGATGATTATGCGGGCAAAGGCATTGGGGTTGTAATGGTGGGTAGCTTAGACAATTCTTCTGCTGCGATTCTCCTATTGCAAGAACCATTTTATACTTTTCTCTAGGTCCTTTCTCAACACAATCCCTCGGTTCATGGCGGACAAATATTTCATCAAATGTCAATTTTGTATATGAAAATCCACTTAAATCAATAAAAAAATTCATGTCAAGTCTCTAGAAATCCATGTAAATCAATAAAAAAGTGGACCCAACTCTACATAGAGTGTATAGATTTTCTAAATCCATCAACTTTTTAAAATTCAAAAAAAAATCTAAAGAAATCTCAATTGAATACACCTCCTTTAATTGAGAACTTTGTTTAATTTGAGTAAAAGAAATCACCCAAAATAGAAATAAAATATAGAAAAAGTATTAAGATAGAAATTTTATAAATTTATTTCCAAAATGAAATTTGTATTGTGACAATGTGATACTAAATGTTGACATTGTATTTTTGGAGATAATGAAACTCTTATTATAATATTTTTCTTTATGTTATACTTCTAGTTTTTTTTCCAATATGAGAACTCCTCTCGAGATGAAAGAAATAATGCAATACCATGTTCTTTTAATAAAGGCCTAAATTTTCCTTGAATAAATTGCATAAAAGGTCCTCAGTTATAGGTCGTTTTACATATTTAGTCTCTACATATCAAATATTACTAATTTAGTCTCCAATTATTATATTCATTTCCACGAATGGTTCTTTGTTAACATTTCCGTTAAGAACGTGGAAAAAATTGTAAATTCACACTCCTTTCTCTCATCAATTAAGCTTCCTCCCTCTTCTCGCACTTCTTTCCCAAACCCGTAGGTGAGTTTGAAGCTTTGAACCCAAAACTGAAATCATCACTCTTCTCTCAATTGTTTGTCTAACTGGTGGAACCCAAATTCGAAACCAGTAACCTTCATGGATGAGTTTTAATGTTTATTTTCTTTGCAATTTTTTGAGACTAACTGATAAAACTTATCCATAAAGCTTATTGGTTTTGATTTTAGGTTCCACCAGGAAGACTAATAATTGAGAGCGAAATGATCATTTCAGTTTTGGGTTTAGAGCTTCAAACTGAGTGACGAGTTTGGGAAAGAGTACGAGAGGAGGGAGGAAGCTTAATTGAGGAGAGAGAGAAGTATGAATATACAATTTTATCCATGTTCTTAACAAAAACGTTAACAAAGGACCATTCGTGAAAAATGATATAATAATTGGGGACTAAATTAGTAATATTTGATATGTAGGGACTAAATATGTAAAACGACCAATAACTAGGGACCTTTTATGGAATTTACTCATTTTCCTTTCATATTATGTAATATTTCTTTCTCCGTCCCAGGTTAATTTTCTTTTGTTTATGTAGATTGAAGAAAAAACTAAATTATCAATATAAACCACCTAAATTTTTAAATAATATATATAAGAGCAGAATCTATTTTGAGACACTATAAAAAGAGTAAATTCTTAAAATGATACTCAATAACTATGTGTTTTCTTAAAATAGTCCCCAAAATTAACTAATTCCTGAGAAGGTACTTGTTAATTGAGAATAACGCTCAGTTCAGTCCTCCCGACTAACGGCCGTTAAAATGACTTTAAAATGACGCTAAACCTTATACTACTTTCCCAAAATAGTACTCTCAAACTTGGTATTTTCTCAAACTAGTCCATTTTTGAAATAAAAATATATTAATTATGAAAAATATTTTAGATTTTATAAGTTGACAATATAATACTAAAAAATATAAATATAATTTTATAATTTTGAAAGTAAATGTTTTAGATTATTTACAATTATTTAGAAGAATATCATGTAAATAAAATGTTTAATAAATGTTAAATAAATCACTATAAATATGAGTAAAGCATAGAGAAAAAACTTTTATTTTGGTACTTTCTTTATATTTTACTCTTATTTAGAGTAATTTGTTTAACGTTTATTTAATATTTTATTTACATTATATTTCTCTAAATAATTGTAAATAATCTAAAATGTTCACTTCAATTTTATAAAGATATGTTTGTAGTTTTTTGTATTATATTGTCATTCTATAAGATTTAAATATTTTTCCTTAATTAATGTATTTTTATTTTGAAAATGAACTAATTTGAGAAAACAGTCAGTTAGAAAGTATCATTTTGGAAAATAGTATAAAATTTAATATCGTTTTAACGATCCGCAATGCTAATTTTTGTTAACACACCAACACTTTTTGTCAGTGTAAATTTTTGTTAACGCACCAATACTTTGCGTCACTGTGAACCATCAAAATGTTGGTACATACCTTTAGTGTACAAATGAGGTACAAATTTTGGGGTACTTGTAGCATGCTCTAAAAACTAAATCTGAGTTGGGAGAGATTAATTTGGGGAGGGAGTAAGGGCTCGTTCCATAGGATTCGTTTTTTCTACTTATTACTTATTCTTATTAAAATTAGATCAGATCAGAATCAGACCAGACCTAATCAGATCAGATCAGATCCAATCAGATTAGATCAAATCCAATCAAATCAGATCAAATTCAATCAGATTAGATCAGACTTAATCAGGTCAGATCAGATCCAATCAGATCAGACCAGATCCAATCAGATCAGATCAGATCCAATCAGATCAGACCAGATCCAATAAGATCAGATCAGACCAGATCAAATCCAATAATATCAAATCAAGAAAAAAATAAAAAATAATATTTATAACTTTCAAGGATTAAATAATAATTACTATTATATGATTAAATCACATTACTTTATTTAAAACTACACACACCTAAATCTTAATTAATATTATAATTTTAATAATTATTGTTGTTATATTATTATTATTATTATTATTATTATTATTATTATTATTATTATTATTATATTTCAACTACAAACCATAATTTTTAATAATTTCTTAGCTCGTAGGATAGAAATGATGCATGGAAGCAATGTTAAAGCTTAAAAAGTTATATTTTTCATATTTTAAAAAGAGTTTTTATAAAATACTTGTTTATAAAATAATTATACAAAACTTTGTTTTCAAAACCATAAATATTTTATACTTAAAAAGACCTACTTTTAAATTTTAAGATGGTATGATATACATAAGGTGGAGTTTATGACAAAATTGATAGAGATAAAAAGATATTAGTGTAAAATTTTATATGATCTTTAATTTGTAACATGAAATATATTATTATGTAATATGCATATAGAATGTTTTTTGTATAATAGCATCAATATTTTCTAATATTTGGTTATTTTAATATCGATTATTTAGTTTTTACAAAAATTAAAAAAGTTGCGATATTGAAAAGATGTTTAATATTTAAAAAAAGTTTAAACATCCCTTTCAATGATTAGCTGATTTTCTTATTTTACTTTTTTTATGTATATAAGAATTTTAATACTTTAAAACTATTAAATTGTATAAATTTTAAGTTTAATTTAAATCAAATTTAAATTCATTTACATCAGATCTAATTAGATAAAATCAGATCCAATCAGATCAAATCTAATCAGATCAGATCAGATTCAATCTCATCAGATCCAATCATATCAGATCCAATCAGATCAAATCTAATCAGATCAGATCAAATTCAATCAGATCAGACCCAATCTGATCAGATCCAATCATATCAGATCCAGTAAGATCAGATGAGCTTAAGAGATACTAGTACAACAGATACAACAGGGAAGAGAGCCTAAATCGATGAGTTCACCACCACTTCCTCTGCTCAAAAGAGGAGATCGGCTATGAATAAACCCCAACATTTCTTGTCGGAATTCAGAGTCTGAACAGCAGCACGTTTGTGATGGATAGAAATCGCATGATTGCTTCCACGATTGGCTCACTTTGTATACTGATTTCACTGGCTTCGGAATCTCTCGGTTACAGACCCGGCGACATCGTACCCTTGAGCCGCATGGGTCAATACCATAATGTGCGTATCAATTGATACTTTTCTTCTTCGAATTTATTTATTTATTTGTTTCTGATATGCTCTCCGCCCATTAATTGCCCAGTCCAGGACTGTTTGGCATGATATAATTGGAAAGCACTGCCCCATGTTCGCTGTTAATCGCGAGGTAAGTTTCCGCACTTCATACACTAAGATACAATTCCTTTAAAGTAACACGTTTGTGTCAGTTCAGTTGTTATTCAATTTCTTTTAGGGTGGTAAATTTATGAGGAGTTTTCTGACTGCAGACCTTGATTCCGATCCCCAAACCTACTGGTTACACTGGTGCTGATCCTTATAAAATGTGAGTGCCAATTGAACTTTTCAAATCGTTGTATGGGGAGTAATATTTCATGTTTTTTTTTCTATGCGTACTTTCTTTGATTTTAGGAGGATATGTTTATGCTGCTTAGCTTAGGTGCCTTGCAATGTTTGGAATCCGGTTGCTATATATTCTAGTTCACTAGAAGCATGAAAAATTTAGGCAAGGGGACCTTTCTGTTAATTCTCAATCATGCCCCTTTTGATGGAATGATGGGAACATGACCAGGGGCGGAGCCAAGTGGGAGCAAATGACTGCAATTGCAGTCACTCCACTTTGGGTAATGGGTATACATATTCACATTCTGCTCCATTGGTTCTAACCATTCCGTTATAGTCATTCCATTATTTCCATATTCACTCATATACATATACTTAGCAGTTGGGTTGGTTGATAAACAAGAGAGTAAGAGACGACAGTCTTCCGCAACATAACATAATCACCTTTGAAAGTTTTTTATGTTATTGCACATCATATGTTCGACAAAATGTCTATGAAACCAAATTTTATTTAAACGCCTCCAACAAAAGTTAAACCGATTCACTTGCCACTTTGTTTGTGCCTTGCACCCACTTGTAATGGATCCTGGCTCCGCCACTGAACATGACCCATCAATGTAAAGAACAAGTATGAGCTGGCTCATATCATTGCTCCGGTCCAAAAAGAATGGACAGAGGAGAAAAAGTAGTTTAGGCTAGTTAACACTGAAAAGTAATGGGGACAGTGACAGACTCCGGTCCTCACGACAACATCGCCTTGGGTTTGTGCCTTTGTTGCTTGCCTATTGGAGTTAAGAACAGTCCAGTCGGAAAGCTCGTGAATCCATCACCTTCTAAGCTGGAGTTGCTGTCTTAAATCAATCAGGTGAGGACCTACACACCTATAACTGGAAGGCAATATCAAGGATATATTCAGTGGAATCATGTATAAGATTTTGGATGTTTTCCTAGATGGAAATATGATGGAGTTGTGGGTGTCTTCGATTTTCATATTGAAAGGAGGTGATTCTATTTTAGAATGAGATGCCTTCGAAAACAATTGGATAAGTATTGACATATGATAGAATCGTGGGGAGAGTGATTTCCAAAATCTCATTTTGAAAAGCGAAACATTTCTGCTCTCAATTGTGCATGAATCACCTATCTCACTTTGGCGAAAATAGAAACCAAGTAGACAGCTTCCTGTGTGATTGTTATTCCAAAGTCAGCAAAATATTCTCACAAATGCGAACCAAATATACCCATTAATTTGGAGTGGGACTATCTTTCTAGAATTCTTGGATTTCACACCATCATTATTGTCTATTATATACTTCGAGGCTAAGATAAAATGATCTGTTTGAGTGTTTGGTTATGCTTTGTTTATCCTTAAATAAATGATATCATGTCAGGATATCAAAACTTTCATGTTACTTATTAGTGGATATTATTTGAGATATGGACTCATTTATCATCTCAGGATGCTGTGATGTACTGTTTGTTTTCTGCAAAGATATCACAATATCAGTACTAAAATACCTACACACCTTGCATTTTCTAGTGTTTGTACTTATAAATGAATGATTTGTATGCAGATCATTTCAAGTTGGAAGAGAGAAATTTTATGTCCCGTGGTTACTTGTGATTAACCGAAAGAGCACCGAAGTCCCAATGATCGATATGCATTTAGTATGGATTTTCTCCTAGCTAAAAACTTTACTATCGTGTATATACTTACAAACACGGTTTCTTTTCTATCTAATAATCAGAAATGTTTAGGGTGATGTGAATGAAAATTTGAAATTCATTGCTTTTAATTCATTTTTCTCATAATATTTTCTTGCATGATATGCATAGAGGTACTCAGGGGGAGATTTTCTTGGCATTACCACTAAAGTAATCGATATGCCTCACAGCTGTACGTCAATCTTTTTCTTGCGTGTCTTCAACATTTGTTGCAAGCTGGTTAAATATTGTTGTTTGGTTTTGCAATATTTTCAGGCATAGAAGCACCTATGTATTTTTCCTGCATGAATTTAGTGTTAATTAATTTTAAGATATTTAAGTACAACAATATCCTTGTAGAATCCCACAAAAGTATGATGTGGAGAGGGTGTGTACGCAGACGTTACCCCTACTCGAAAGTAGAAAGTTGTTCCCAAGATACCCACAAATTGATCAAACAAAAAAGCACAGAGCACAACAAGGAAGCAAAGAACAAACTAAGGGTATAGAAAAGCGCAAAGAGACAAACAACTCTCAAACTACCCCTAGCAAGAAGACACCAAGCATAGGAAGCACACAACAACATTTTAAAATGTTTAAGTAATACTATAAATTTCATGCCACAGACCCCAATGTAGTTTGGACTTTGGATTAAGGTGATGTAGATGATGATTTTTATGCAGAAACATCTCTTATTAACCCAATTCTTAGTAGACATACTTCAGAGGCTAAGTATTACAATTGTATTATCTGGATTCTGGACAGATGTTGAATTTCATCCTGACATACGTAAACAATTTTGGGATCCACAACATTGGCCAAAGCATGTGCTTATCAGATATACATGGTAAGAGTCATATCTCCATGTCTTTGAACGTCTTTGAAGGTATAATTGGTATTCTGAAATCAATTTCAGGTCTTTTAGTAAAATTATCGGAAGAAGATGATTTTTTTTTGTTTCTTTAAGCAACTATGCTTTCCGTTCAAAACCTAATGCAGTTATATTAAATTCATTCTCTCTATTATTCTAGAGATTTTTGTGTGCGCCCTCTCACAATGAGATGCTTATATTCTTAACAACCATTCTTGATGATCTGTATCAGGTTTTCTCAATGTGGATGTGACATACTCTCGATTTCTATATTTATTAAATGAATTCGTAGGATCCTTTCCCGTTCTTGGAGATTGTCTTGGCTCTTGCACTAATTAAAGAAGAACGATACCCAGTTTCCTGAAAATTTCTTAAATGTGAAGAAGAAAAAAGGGTTACATGCCCTTAACGCATGTGACAAGGAGCAATTTTGCCCTCCTTCCACCTATTATCTAATAAATTCTCTTAATGCTATTTGTTAGCTAAAAAGTGCTTTTTTTAAGGTTCTCTTTTAACACATATCATTTTTCCACTCATCCTCATGGATTGCGAACCTAAACTCCTAGAACCCAAACCCAAATGGATACAACCTGGTCCAATTTGAAAAACCACTCTAACAAATCTACTGTTCTTCAAAAGATCAATCACCACCCACTCAGCTACCCTACCATTCTTGTGGACCTTAAGCTCAACCTTTTTCATCAATTTATACTACAAAATCTATGCTTCAGTATAATGAACTCATTTGAAATTCTAATTAAAGCTTGAATAAATAATGAGACAAAAAGAACTTGAATTGGCACAGTGTTATAAACAAAGTTGTACAAAGGCTCTTATAATGCACTCCATATTACGGAGTATTAGAATTACCAATCAAGGGAAGTTTTGCTTTAATGTTGAAATCCTTTGGAACTCCATTGAAGAACTTTAAAAGCGGGCTTATTATTTTGTGGAGTTTTGGTGGAATTATTGACATGGGTTTGATTCTAGAGATATTTGGAAAATGTGTTTCACATTTTGGGGTATTTGATCAACAATTACGGAGGCTGGTTTGAGTTGGAAAACATGTGATCAAGAACATTAGTAAAAACCCTTACTGGTTTAGTAAATTGGGTCGGATTGTAATCATAATCCATTTAAATCTGGGTCGCGCGAGTTTGGGTTAGCAATCCTTGTGGACTAGTAGAAAGATGCTGTCCAAAGAGAACCTCATCCAGTGCTTTGTTAAAACAAGGACCCAGATAGGTGGAACCATTAGCAGTTTTGAGCAAATAGATAAGGGTATTTTTGAAACAATACCAAGAAAGAAACTGCAGTGGTAGCCAAAAATCTTGGAGTTGTGCGCAAGAAAATCTTCACAACTTCATAACACCATGCAATTAGATAAGTTTACTATTTTGGGGTTGACTACACTTATCCGACCATCGATCTCTGTTGCACTGGCGTGCCGGATTATGTTGATATTTGATGAGCTAGTTTAGTACTTTTTAACCTTCAAAGTTGTTCTTTTAACCTATTTTTTGAATTTGTAATAGGGAAGAACAGTCGGAGATAGATGTTGCTTCTGGATTTTATGTTCTTTTTGGGTCAGGTACGGTTTTCTGATAAACAGTCAATAATTGGTATTCAGGCAGTAATTAAACAGGGACAAGTAATACTAGTATAAGTTTGGCAATGGTGTTGGTTCATGGTTGTTCTCCAAATATACAAAAAACTTAACTGTTTTTTAAATTTCTTTCTGTTTTTGCTAACAAGCAGGGCTGATGCTGACGTTCATTCTCTCAATCTACATTTTACAATCTTCTCGAGATAAATTGGCAAGGTACATTAATCAATCTCCTTTTGTATCATGTAAAACATCTTCTGTTGGACTCATATTGTCGTAGACTAATACTTAGTTTCATTTATTTTCTTTTTTTATTCTCCAGATTTGTCAAAGAGACTGTTGTTGACAGCAGCTTGTCCAGCGGTGGAATGGCAAAAGTTGAGTGATGTGATTTCGTAAGTTCTCGTGTGACAGTCTCACCAAACAAGGCTACAATGAGCCATACCTTTAAAAGTTTCTTCTCTGAGTTGGACTCATTTTTAAATTTGCTCTCAGAGTTTTGGGTAAATGATTTGTTGAACTACTTCAGTCGGATTCATAGAATAACACACAAACTCTATGCAAGAATGTTATAATTTGGCTCTAATTATTATTAGTGATTCATAGGACTGGGGGACTGGTGTCTATTTACTGTAGGAAGTTGATGCTCCAAATTTAGGACAATTCTATAATAATTGTATCTGTCTCCATGGATAGTGATAATTCTTCGTGATGCATACATTTGTTAGTTAGTGGCTTCAATCTTTTCAATTTGTAAACATTAACACTATCTTTGGTTCAAATAATTTTAGGTAGTGTTTGACAACTAGCATTTCATTTCAATTCATGCATTTCAATTCCAAAATTTGAAATCATGAATTTCAAATGACAAGGGGAGGTGCATGGATTTCAAATTAAGCTTGATTTTGAATGTAAAGAATTTGATTCAAATCCAAATTTAAAATGCTTAAGTTTTCCAAACATGGAATTTAAGCCAAATCCGGATTTGAAATCCAAATCCATGTTCCCAAACATACCCTTAGAGGAAAAAGATAATAACATGAGACGAAAAACAATTTTTTCATGTTTAGTTAGAGAAGAAAAAGTAGAGAAGTGGAAGGAAAAAAAATAAGAGAAATTAGTCTATGAAAGAAAAATGGATTTCTTCCATTTTGGCAAAGAAAAGGAGAAAATATTTTCTTTTCCTAATCATTGATTCTTCCTATTTGATTTCTAACCACTGTTCTTTGATTTTGAGATTGTTAATCTCTTTAGAAAGATGTGCTAGGTGTGCCCAATTGGTGTACACCAGTTATACATTAGGTTATACATTAGGTTTTTCACAGACATTAACTATCTATGTTTCAGATAGTTAATGTCTGAGCAGCCTGATGTACTCATATGTTTTTCCCTCTTTAAAACCTATCTTTCTCCGCGTGACACTCCTTTTGTACCAAAAGTTTTCTCCAACCTTCCTCTTTAGGCTACCCTAAGTACATTCCACTTAAAATAAATAAATCAAGTGACATATCTGGCCTCACTTATTACTTTGACCCCCACCCTCATCCCACCTAAAGAGTAAAAGTAATGGCATAATGAACCTTTTTCTCATGTGAAATACCCCTTCTCTCTAAGTTGTTCTTTTCCATTGGACTTAACATTTTGATCATTAATATTTGATATTTCAAACTAATGTTTCAAAATGAACTTACTGATAGTAAATTTATTATATTTGTATGGTAGAGTTAAAAAAAAAGTTAACCATAAAAAGTTAAATGTGATGAATAAACTTGAACAGGTGGAGTACATAGTCGTATTTGTGTGATTCTATTTTTACTTTATTTTATTTTTAAAATTAACATCAATCACAAAAACTTGCTTTTATTAATCCCCGTGTCACTTTCTCATGGCTCAAAATTATTGAGGTAGAGGGAATACTATATTTAAAAGAATTGACTTGATTTTACTGGGTCAACTCGGCGGCTCATCCACAGTCGGGATAACTGACATTTAGGCTACGTTCGGTTTGCCTGATTTGATTTTTTGAAGATATGATATGATTGCAGTTATAATTAAAGTTATCTCTGATGTGATCTAGTCTGATTACAATGACAATAAGTAATAAGTAGAAAAAATAAGTTGAACGAAACGCAGCTTTAGACTTGTTCAATGTAATTTTTAATTCTAGTTATGTAGGTTCTATAGTTTCTAGAATTTAATTCTATTTGGATTGCATTGTGACCCTAGACTTAAAGATTTCATGTTTCAATCTCAAGATTCTAGTTGTCACTTAAAATTAAAGTGTAGCTGACATATCCCATAATCTAAATGGACAAAATCGCCTATGTGGGACGAAATGTAATACTCCCTTCGTCCTAAAATAATCTTCTTAGACAGTATTCACATGATCAAATTCTAATCACTTTCTTTGTCTATTTTCATTAGTAATTTGATAAAATAATATAATCATTGTACTTGTTTTGTACACCTTTTGATATAGTTTTAAAATATATAATTTTTATTTTTTTAATTTTATACCTTGATGGGTGTATTCCACCCAGAACCCGGTCCGAAACTGGTCCGAAATAAGTAACCGGTCAAGTTACAATCATGACAGCGTGGAAGATTTAAATTAAGGATAAGCCACCGGTTAAGTTCTAAAAATTGACCGGTGCCGGGTGTAAACCAACCAGTCCGATTATATGACTTCGAGCTAGCGGACTTCTGATCCTTCAAAGCATAAGAAATAAACCTACCGGGTAGGATTCTGCGATGAAAGTGTCGACATGAATAAACTCCAAGATTGTTTGGACGATAGTGACCGATTTTCAATGAAACATTGGGGAAATATTCCCTCAATCTCTGCTGGGCACTATGCCTCGAAAGAGGAATCATCAGTACAAAATGACAAGGGAATGGGACAAGATACTACGAGACAAAAGAGGGAAGCCACCTCGCACCCTCAGAGAACATGGGACGGCGTGGACGCACGACGCTCTGTCCCCTCCCCTTCTTATAAATACATGTGTAACCCTCAAAGGAAGGGATCTGAGTTCTTCTCTCTATATTCTAATAACAATTAGGCTACATGTGTTTCCACCTACAGTCCTCCCGATTAACCTTTGTGTTTAATACTTTTTACTTTCTCGAATCCAGTAAACAATCCTAGACCCCGTCTAGAACTGTTTACCCGGTGGTTAATTTATACCATCATTTTTTGCGCCACCCGTGGGACCATAAGGTTTCTTTTTTCATCCCAAAGGAACCTACTCACGAAAAAACCACTTTCTCATAATGTCTTCAAGCCAGTTGAACAACAAAACTTCTGCCTCGGTGCAAGCCACCGCTGAAGGAATAACCATGCCGATGGTTACTTCCCAACCAGCTCACTCTGCTACCGTGATGCTGATGGGTTTAAGCCCCATCTCGGCACCAACCATCAGTGATCCATTCACAATCCACATCCCATCTGCCGGGCCAAGGGTCACGTTTCCCCCAAGCATGACCCAATTCATGAATGACTTGGCAAATTTGCAAGCAATCCAAGGATTCGCCCAGGTCATGGCCATGTGTCAACAGCATGGAGGGATGTCACTCCTCCCAGGAATGTTTCCATTCACTCTCCCAGGCGCCGGAAGGTTACCGCTTCAGGCCCCGAAGGTAGTGTCTCCCTTCAAGACACTGGTGCCCCAGCCATCGCCTTTTCAGTCACAGGTGGTCAGCGCCATGGCCCCTGTCAATTTGACCAGTGCACTGAATGTGGCCGGGCTGTCACGCCCTCCCCAAAGTGCACGCCACCCGCAGAGCATCCATGAGGGTCATTGCATCTCAATTGAGAGTGATGACGGAGAGTGCGACATCCCCAGAGCCCACAAGAAGAAGAAGGGCAAGACCCTAAACCTGGAAACCTCCCGAGACTCTGCCTTTGATAGACTTAAAGAGAGGGAGGAATGCTAGCGTAAATCTGCAAAGCTAAGGTAGGGACAAAGCGCGACCCATGTCATCGAATTTCCCGGGTTAGGCGAGGGGAGGGAGGCCGAGCCTGCCTGTACTCATCGCACCCGGTCAAATCGGACTGAACCAGCTAAATCACAGGTTTTGCACCGTGAGGAAAAAGCAGAACGTAGGGATGAAAATGGCTCGAGTTTGGGTCGAATAATACTATACCCGAAACCGACCCGACTTTTAAAACCGCAACTATAACCTGACCCAAAACCCGACTTTTTAAGCCAAAAACCCGACCTGACCCGAATCCGACATTCCAACCCAAAATCCGAACCGGACCTGAACCCGACTTTTAACAAATAATCAATTCGATGTACCCCAATACTTTTAAAAAGATTAAATCTAATTTTTTTGTGTCTCTTTTTTTGTGTCTCATTTTTTATTAAGGAATTATAAAAATGATTATAAAAGGCATACTTGATATAGTAGCACTTTGTTAAGAGATTATACGGAGTGCTCATTATATCCATAGATAGGCTTTTATGTTATACTACCTCCGTTCCAGAGTATTTGCCCACTTTCATTTTTACACACCATCCAATACACTTCTTTAATCCATTTTATCTTGTAATTTGTATATTAAAAAATTATAGAAATTATATATTAATAATCTATATGTTAAGACAAATCAAACAAGATCACACATGACTATATTTAGGCTTACACATTGAGAGAATTTGATGAGTCAAAGTGCTTAGATGAACAGTTCTAAAAGTCAAAACTGGACGAATACTCCGGGACGGAGGGAGTAAAATATTTGGGTTCGAGTCGGGTCGGGTGCGGGTTCGAATCGGATAAAATTATACATCCACACCCAACCCGATGTCGGGTTCGGGTAAAACATTTTGGGTCGGATTTGGATTGTTTTATTCTCAATTCAGGTTTGGATATTTTAGTGGTCGGTCGGGTCGGTTAAGCTCGGGTTCAGGCTAAATTTTCATCCCTAGCAGAAAGCCAATCACGCGAACCGGTGAGAAGCAGGTTGCGGAACCCGGGTGACCAGGTCCAATAAATGGAGGCGAAGCTGGAGATGCTAGAGAGAAGGGTGGATGAGAAGAATGACAAGGTTCCACTTGACACCTTTTCCCCGAAAGGTAAAGGTGGAAGCCCCAAAATTCATGGGAAAGGAGGATCTCGAAATCCATTTGGATTCCTTTAATCAAAGTGTGACCATGATGGGGTGCACCAGTCAAGAAAAATGTCTTTTTTTTCTTCCAGCCCCTGCGAGGTATGTTGGAATGCATGAGTTCAACCCTTTCTGTGTTGTTAAGTGTTGACTCACAGGTTTTGATAATTGACAAACACACTTTATTCACGTCAAGATCAAAGTGCTACAACGACAAACATGAAGACTTGAAGTGCCATTCCTTGAAGTATTCAAGAAGGTGCACAGGATTTTATTGGAGTCCAAGACGCGTTCGAAGCGCCTAACGGAGGACTCGGAGGAGTAGAAGATTTCCAAAGACTTTTTATTTATTTGAGTCTTAGGAATTATTGTAAGGATGACAAAAATATCTTCTCTCCAAAATTATTTTTATGAGAGTTAAAAAAAAATTATATTTATTTTTGGAGTCAGTTGAAAAATCTTTTTAACTGTTCAAAATAGTTTTATTGAGTCAGTTACAAAAGGTTTGCCAAACATTTATCAAATATTTATTTTGATATTATAAAATATTTTTGGTAAGTAAAAATATTTTATTCAAATTTTTCTGTGTACATCGTTTGACACACAAAATAATTTTTGGACTCACTTTTACTCCCTTATTCAAATTCATTGAATAAGAGAGGAGGAGCGCTTCCCTGATTCCCGTTGTCTCAAACAAACGTATACGCTCCGTTTTATCCTCCCTA